TTTAGATTAAATATACTGTTTTGTTTTAGCCAAACTAATATTATCTCTTGTATTGGTATTTATAAAGTCATCTGCTTCTGGCAGGTGGAAGAAACTAACTCCCTGATGGCAGAACTTGTAAAGGTGACTGCAAAACAAAGGCATTTCCTCGAACAATGCAAGGATTTCTTGTCATCTTTAGAAGCTATGCAGGTAATCTGTCTTTATCAAGTTTTCTCATCTAAAGACCAAGACATAAAAACCTGCTCTTTTTTGAGTTCAATATGTATCCTACACTGGTTAGTGAAATGGTGTTTCAAATTGTGCTCCTTCCATTTCAAAATAACTGTCATTTTGGAGTTTTAGTTTCGTAATATAATTGTCGCTTTATAATCTTGATGGAACATTACTTATTCATTCTCGTATCATTTTATCCATAAAGTTCTTTGTCAAGCAAAAAAATTTGAAAATAATGGCAAGTGAAGTCCAAGTGCCTTCCTTGAAATAACTTGTCACTGTGATGAGATTTTACTCAGATATCATCAGATTTTGCCACACTCCGAGTTGCTTAATAATTTTGTTAATACACACACATGACTACAAATGAAAGTTATTTTGAACTGTATTTAAATACTATATCTCATCCTGTAGTAATGTTTATGTTGTGTTTTATATCCATGTCTGATCCATAGCAAACCCAATGCTCCTATCAGCGTGTTAAAAAAAAAAAAAAAATTATTCATTATCCCAAAAGAAAAGGATACTTGGCAATGACAATGCAGCCTTAGGTTCTCATTAATCCAGTATAAGTATTCTCATAGCTTCTTTTTCCTGGTTTATGAATTATAATAACAGGTCAGGGATTGCACCTTAAGAACACATATAATACAACTTTGTCGTGTTCGGACTACTGGCTGCCACCTGACAACACGTGTGTAGGACTGATCTTTCTTGACTCCTCACTCTTACTGCTAACACTAACCAGCTTTTTAATTTCCCACGGGTGAAGATGACACAGAAGGTAACGACAATGGAATATGGAGCTGATAGCTTAGCTGGTTTTTGGTTTTCTGTGTTTACATTTTTTGTTTTCGGAACCTAATATGTTCCTGTTGAATGTCGTGTGTAGTATATGTTGTGTATGAATATCATCATCACAGGAAAAAGAAAAAGGTGACCTTTTTTTCCTTCTGCTTCTTTGTTAGGTAGTTGGAAGCAATTCCCTTGGTTCAAGTGTATGTATATAATCAACTAACCATTTGTTTATTAGGTAAATTTGTGGTCAAGATCCTTCACTTGAACACCAGTCCTTGCTGTTTGATTATTGTCGTTATCAGTTTTAGCAACCTCAGGCCTAGATTATAATTCTCTGCAATTTTATACGTGGACTGTGAAATCCTAGCCTCTCGGGGAGATCAAATGATTGCACAAGCATGATGTCCAATCTCAAAATCTTGAACAGGAGTTGTTGTCGAATCATACAAGCATATTCTACTATGAATTTCACCTAGAAGGCTGTTGGATGCTGTTCTTGAGAATTTTGTAGAATAATCCTTTCTTTTACGGCAACATCATGCTATTTTATCAGGCATTCGTCTTCGTAAACAGGACTTTGACGGTTTAATTACGAAATTTCGAGTTCGATTCAAAAAAATGTATTTAAGAGAGCTATTTTAATCGAGTCTAACAATACTTGGATATAACTCAATTAATAGTTATTGAAAAACAGCATTCCATTCATATGTATGCTTATACGAAAAATGATCAAACTGCTTCTAACAATTTTTATCTATAATAGTGACATTACATTTTTACTAGAACAGGTTCGCGTTTATCGTGATGAGATCCTCTCTAACTGCATGCAAAAGATAATATAAACACGGCTTTTAAAATCGGGAAAAAGACAGAAAAATATACTTTGACTTCAAAATGCCAGGAACGTCCGCCCAATTTGGAAAATCTCGTTTTGCTCTTATCAGATCAAATTGGGATTATTTTGTTAAATGAAAAGATAAAACTGCCCTCACTAGATACAAAACGTGGGCACCACGTTAAGCTGCATACGGATGAAGATAGGCAGGAAGGAAAAGAGAGACATGCACAACGGAGGCTGCTCGAGAGTGACGAGAAGGTGGTGATTCGAAAGGGTAAGTGTTTCTTTGAAATCATATGACTCTTTCACCCTCGTAGCATCACTGTGACAGTGTGTTTTATGGTTTTTGATGGTCCCGCGTTCTGCATAAGTCGTCGAGGGTTCAGAGGAGGTAATGTGTGGCATTACGTAAGTACTGTCACCAAGGATCTGGTTTTAGAGAAATACCTTTATTGAAATTGTTATTTCCTTTAACTGTGTTGTTAACTATGACAAAAGCTGCAAGAGGAGTTTACTTATTGTTCATGTTAGATATTCTTTGCCTTATATTTTATGTTTTAAGTATGATCTTCATATAAACTGAGTTTTAAAAATTAGTATTAATGATTATTTCTTTTTATGATAGCTGTTAAAACTTATAATCGAGGTGTTAAAAACTTATTTTGGGGTTGTTATCTGGTTTATTGAAGTTGTGATGTGGTGGGTTTATTCATTATTGGAAATATTGATCCATAGACTGAAGTTGTACAACGCTTAACCAAAGTTGTAACATGGGTTTTTTTTTTCCTATCTCGAAAATACTGTTGTGAATACACATACTGAAGTGGTAAATATATATAAAACTATTGTAAATCCATACACTGGAGTTGTAAAATTCTCCCTAGATGTTTAAACAGGCCGTCCAACCAAGGTGTAGGGAGGTAAGAAACCAGGTGGTTAACAGGTATACCCAAGTTGTTAAAATATTATACTGAAATTGTTAAATGCTTAACCGATGTTGTAAAATGGGGATATTTTTTTTATCCTGAAAATGCTGTTGTGAATACCGATACTAAAATTGTAAACATATATAAAGATATTGTTAATCCATACATTGGAGTTGTAAAATTCTCCTCAGATGCTTAAAATTCTCCTCTTCTCTCTTTTTCCCCTTCAATCGACTCCCACAATGTATCCCTTCGGTCTTTCTTTTCTTTTCTCTTCTTCCACAATGACCACAGCACCACCAACGCGCTCTTCCTTCTTCTCTTTTCTCTTCTTCCACGGTGACCACAGCACCACGAACGCATCCTTCCTTCTTCTCTTCTCTCTTCTTCCACGGCGATAGATTCCTCCTCCACTCCCTTCTCCTCTCTTTTCCATTCTTTGCGCTGTCGGTTTCAACCAAGCATTCCCAAGTTAAACCGCGCCTCTCTTCCCCTGCTTTTTTTCAAATAATACAAAGGGTAGTTTTGTCTTTTCATTTAACAAAATAATCCCAATTCGGTCTGATAAGACCAAGACGGGATTTTCCAAATTGAGCAGACGTTTCTGGCATTTTGAAGTTAAAGTATCATTTTTCTGTCTTTTTCCTTTTAAAATCAGTGAACACGTCAAGTAATTGTACTCCAAATCAATTCTGCTCTCAAGCAATACCTTCCCCAGAATGACGTTTTGTACTATTTTGTTATGATCATCCGTGACAAACGAATTATAATGTCTCTAGAGATTTTCTCAAAACACAACTCATACATGACTACTAGCAAGCTTGGTTTCATGTTAAACGATTTTGATAGTTTTTCTTCTTCTTTTTATAATTAGATTTCGATAGTTTCTAATATAACATTAAATACGCACTATGGGTGGCAAGCCCACAAGAAGTTTTTTTTTGCTAAAACACATGTATCTTTTTATTAGAGGCAATCTAATGACACTGTCAGGCACTAAATATGATTATCTTTTCTAATAGAGATTTGAATCTTGATTCGTTACGTTATGAGAGATCGGCCTCTTCTGCTAGACCTAATCCCTATAAGTCAGCCCACAAGAAGTTAGATAAACAATGTTATTGTAACTGGTAGATTTTGCCAGGTAAAGCATAGGTAATTCTTTTATGAATTAAGTTTAAAATTCCATAGTAAATCAAATCAACCATGGGTTAAATGTTTTCTTAATCATATGTCACACTTTTCGTAGTTTTTTTGTGATTACCCTTTCTATTATATCCTTGTCAAAATACAATCCATTAAATATTATTAAAGATAAAGATCTTAATTCCGTTTTATCGTATAAAAGGTGCTCAATCAAACTCTCTCTCCCACACACAGACATGTGATTTATTTGGGTGCTTATCACCCAATTGATAATTTGATCAGCGCTAAATCTGTACCGTCCAAATAAATTTGACTATCCAAATTTCATATGATTTATTTTTTATATTTTTAATGGTTTGTTAGTTTAATATGTACAAATTATAAAATAAAGATTCTTTTTGTATGATTTTTCAACCAATGATTTTTTATTTAAATATTACTGGTTAAAAATTTTAAATTTAGATGAGCACCACACTCACCAAGACTGACTAGTTTTGTGTGTGTAGATAGAGCGAGAGAGACGCTATTTTATGTTCCAATGGCTTTATTTTTTTAATAAAAGACAAAATTACTAAGATTAAAGGTAACAGTTTTTAATACAAGGTTCGTAAAAGAGCATAAATCTAAATCAGGAAAAGAATCGAAAGTACTAATATTAATAGAAATTACGGTAAAAGCTTTTTATATGTGTTACCTCTGGTTCTTAATATAAAACTTTGTTGTTTATTTTTATCCTAAGTATAAGACTCCAATATATTTTATCTCTCATATTTATCTAATCTTTCCAAGTAGTCCTTCTAATAATAGTAGTTCTAACCCATAAACTTGATTGGTAAAGATATTTTAGGAAAGACAACACATATTTATAACGAATAACTAACTTAACTTATTTTCTTAATCTAGTCAAATGAATTAACTAGTTCTTATGTTTAGGACCATTTAGGACCGAAAGTAGTATTAAGAACATCCTGAAAACAGTTCCTTGAGGGATAGAGGCAGTGATAATGCTGAGCTTGTGAATGGAAGAGGCTGGTTGGAAATGTTCCAATGGCTTCATGTTCCATGGAATTTTATTATCAGTAGAATAGTCTTAGGAGTCTCCTTTCGGCACTGCCCTGTAGGCTACTAGTCCCAAACGAGGTCGTTTCATACTCCTCCGTGGACGGCGTCCCCGCTCGCTGCTTCTTCGCCCTCTCCAGCATCTTCTGACCACGTGCTTGAAAATTCTCCCTGTCGTCCATATTAGAATCACTCGTTACCTTTCTCTTTAACATCACTGATGACCTTTCACCTTTCATGTGCTCCCTCTGATCGGTAGAACTATTCATGGCCGACCCGAAACTCTCATCTTCCGCCGGAACTACTGAACCTCCGCTGCAGCCACCAAAAATGGAGAAATCCGGAGGGAGTAGTGGGGTCAACGGGCCGCCACGGAGCACCGTCTCCACCGCCAGCTGGCAGAGATGCCAATTCCCGGACCAGAGAAGCCCCACTGCTCCATTCACTGGGTTTAGGGTACGTCCCAGCGCTTCAAACAACAACGACTGAAACAAATCTGCCATCACCAAAACCATCAAAATCAAACATACAAAATAGTGGTATTTATTCCTAGTCTTTTATCGGTCAATTATTCCCAAGTTAACTCACCTGTTTCGCAAGAAAACCTCACCTCTCAAGAATAACTTTTCTTTATCATCACGCACACTTATCTTCAGAGAGTATAACAGACTGACTCTCGTTCAAATCAAATCGTTTATACTATACAGTTAATTTGTGATAGCTATATCATCTCTACAGATAACTTCTATATATATATATAGATATAAATTGAGGGGCACGCAGCACACAGGCACACACACACACATATTATAAGAAGGAGGAGGAGGGCGAGAGAGAGAGAGAGCTGACGGGGTCTTTGGGAGGAGGAAACGGCGGAGACGAAAGACATGAGGCGGGCACGGCCGAAGAACTTGGCGAGGAAGACGGTGGCGTGGGCTTGGGCTTGAGGGCCTTGGATCCCCTGAAAGCAATGCCGGAGCATGCACTCGTCGCTGCATCGTTTTCGCAGAACACGACAACCGCTGCAACTCATTTCTCCGATACTCCAAGATCCTCAATATATATATATATATATATATAATACAACCCTAATTAAATTAGGGTTTGTCTAACCACACAACTCCTCAAAACAAGTACCCTTATACGCTAAAAGAACACAATGGATTTTCAATGCGAAGCAACAATGGCATGTGTGTGTCTACATATATATATATATATATAGAGAGAGAGAGAGAGAGAGTTACATTGTCATAATTATCGATGTTGAGGAAGGAAGATTAACCGGTGTTAAGTATTAAATTGATATGCAAAAGAAGATGGGTTAAGTTAGGAACTACGAGGTGCTGGGTACTTCCAAAGAAGCGGGTGATAACGGCTCTGGTTCTCCGCAAATGTTTGAATCATATGGTGCCCTTTGATTCTCTTCTTCATAATTCCAACAGTTTTGGACTACTCTTTCTACTTATATTCTCCGCATTCATTTTGATCAGTTCAATATATATATATATATATATATATATAAAATTCATTCATTTTCCAATCATGAAGTTGTTGACTAACTTCTGTAGCTTGGAAAGACTCGCATGGAAATGGTATTTTGTTAAGAGATTGGAAGTTGTTTTTGATTCGTTAACAGTAAAAAAATAATTTTATCTAAAATAGAGAAAGCAAAAATCAGATTTTTGTTACGAAAGAGCTCCCACATGCAATATAATTCACAGTTTTACACGAACCTTGAGTTGGTGCATTTAATACTATTTTGACATCTAAGACTTGTGATTAACAGTGGTTGTGGTTAATACTTATAAAAAAAAGGTTAAAAGTATTTTTATGATCTTATTTATAAGAAACTAAAACTATCTATTTCAAGTATATGATAGAATGTTTATTTGTGCCTTCGGTGAAATAGAGAATTCTAATCACAATGTACTCATAGTTTCTTCGTGTAAGAGTTGTTGAAGTCCATGAAATGAGGATATTTCTGAAGGAAAAAAAAACCATATCTCTAACATATTTATAGATCCTAAATGATTTTAACTGCATTTCTTAATCTTAATAACTTAATTATTTTATCTATTCGTTGCTTGTAAAAAACATTGGAAAAATTGTATTACCGTATATCTACTCATTTGATAAGGAAAAAAAAAATTCGCCCTTTTAATACAAGTCACCTCGTTAAATTTACTATGTGAAAGTACAACTTTACCCTTGCTTGTTGTTATGCCTATTGTTATTTTCTTGAAAACTATAGATGTTATAAATAGAGATAAAATTAATAAGTTATTAAATTTTAAGATAAAGCTGATCAGATTAAATTTTTTTTAGACTCAAGAGAAATATATTGAAAATATCTTATTAATAGAACTAGAAGAGTATACTCCTCTAGTCCTATTTATAAGACATAAAAAGAAGATATTTTTTTGTCTTATTTATAAGATATTAAGAGAAATTTTTTGTATGAATGTATAATTTTACCTTTTATTTATTATTGTGTTGGCTTTGTTTAGATGAGATATAATATATATATTAAATAAGGATAAATTTGAAAAGTTATTGAATTTTAAATAAGAGTTAATGAAGTTTAAGATTTTTCTTAATCTGTGTGAAACATGTTGGAAGTGATTTATAAATATGATCAGAGGATTACTTCGTACTCCCTCCATCCTTTATTATAAGATCATTTTAACTAAATTGCACGGTTTAAGCAAATAGTATAAATTAGTTAAAATCAATTAATATATAGCAAATATAATTTTTTCCAATATACCCTATATATAAATAGATAAACATGAGAGAGTAATAGTGAGATAAATAAAGAAAGAGAATGTATTAATTGCATTAAATTAGGGATAAAATATGTAATAATGTATTCAATGCTCAGACAAACTCAAAAAAATCTTATAAAAAAGACAGACCTATTCAACAAATAACAGTTGTAATAAAAGACACAAGAGCAGTGTGTAAAGACAACTGTAAAATCATGGAATTTAAGGTAATGGATTGGATTGAGAAAGGAAAAACGATGAAGATGAGAAGAGAGAAGAAGATGGTGATGGATTGGATTGTAATGAGACACAGAAACATAGAAGTTGGAGCCATTACTTAAGTTGGATACGTGGCATCTCTATCCAACAATCAACACAATTAATTACTATTCTTAACAAACCAGAAATTATTAAATTACAGTGTTTAGCGTTTAATCCAACAAAACTAGGATTGTTCGCGGAAGATGCGAGCCCAGTAGTAATAGGTTAAAACTCCTGCAAGCTCATAGTTCGGCATTTTGTGCCTATCATCAATTGTGTGGTTAAAAATTAAGAGACTCCTTAATTGTTTTATCTTAATGAGCATTCCTGTAATCAAACGGAGAATCAACTGTTAATTTTGTGAATAATGTGACTTATTATAAATTTTATATTTTATGTTTCATATTAGTAGTATACGATTGAGATGATGAATTAATTGATTGTTAGGAGCAATATTAATTGAGCAAGGATTTTGGTTTGGCCAAAATAAATGAGAATTTCACCTTGTAAAATTAATGATTAATTAGTTCAAAGTATGAGTCAGAAGATTATGCTATTAGAATTAAGCGATAGTTTTTATATGTTAATCTATGAATTTGATATTACTTTTTTTTTTTTTTAGCCTGACTATGAATTTTGATATTACAACTTTTGTATACAAAAATTTATACTTTAGGATCACCATTCTATTTAAGTATCATAGGACCTAATTGAAAGTGGCTATCTCACATATTTTTTTCTCATTTACAAAGCTCACTGGCAACTTTTATTGAAGAAAATCGAGTCTTTTCTACTTACCCGATTGTGCCGCTTACCCAATGAATATTTTGTAGCTATAAATAGTAAAATATACTCTGTTAATTGCTTAATATAAAATCTGAATAATTAATTTATAAAAATTGAAAAACACTAACTAAATTAATTGATTGTAAACAAAATATGTGTTGATTTTTTAAAAATATAATTTTTTTGCCAACCCTAAAATATAATAATTTTAATCATATGCATTTGAATTAACTGCATGTTGATCAAAACTCTTAATATGTGCCATTAATATGAGTAGTTTAAGAAGAATTTATAGATGTAAAAAATAAGGTGATTGAGTTCTTATATCTAAGATAAAATCAGTTCCTATGTGAAGGAAAAATGGAGAAGTTATTAATATTAACCAAGGTTACAAAGCTATGGATGAGACACATTCAAGTTCTTTAAAAATGTTTACTTTTAACCATTATCTAATTTAAAACAATAATGAGTATAAATTAATTGATGAAGGTGGCTTCGAAATAAACGTTTGAATGGAAGAATTGACTTTATATTATGTTGTTAGTACACGTATACGTTTTGTTGTTTCAGCAACACCAATGTGGCTGCCCCCTCCCTTGACAGAAACAAGGTGTGGAAATTTCCAGAGTTTCTTTTCTTCATGCCGCATCACAATTATGTGGCCTTTTAGAAAGTTAAATGAATTTGATGTTCTTAACGTTAAATCATGCTAATAATAATTCTACCTCTTGTCCTTAATATAAGAGTTAGTTGACTAATTTGAATAAATTAAGAAAATTAGTTAAATATTTATAATAAATGTGTTGTCTTTTCCAAAATACCCTTACTAAGTGTCATTTGATGAAACATTTAATATGTACTACTATTTCAAAGACTACCTCAGAAAAAATAAATAAATATGAGAAACAAAGTGAATTAGAGTCTTATATTTAAAATCAAATTAAAAATCAAACTAACTCTTATATTAAGAAGCGAAGGTAATAGTGTACAACAAAACCATAGGCGTGCTATTAGTACTGCTATCTGTTAATTTCAAATTTGTAATTTGCTCACTTCAGTGTTTGATTGGAAAGGTATTGTATTTAATAATAAAACACTCCGGCAAATGATAATTAAGACCTCATTAAGTTGGGGCTGTTTGGTTCAACAGACCACTAAACATTTCGGAAACCTTGCTTAAAAATGAGGTTGTATGTGCGCGCTCGTGTTTTTTTTTTTTTTTTTTGGAGAAAAAATTTTAAAAAAAAGGTTGGACTTATCTACAATTCAAGAACAAGAAAACTAACACTTAACCCACCACCAGGCACGTAACACTTCTGGCCAATTAATTTAAAGTGACAGGCCTTGGCTTTGAAAATGAGGTTTTGTGTTTTTTGTAAATATGATAGCATGTAAGTTTCTTTGGTTGGTGAAATATGACAGAAAATTAAGACCTTTAAGCTATTAATTTCAATTACAAATTTTCAATTATTTAAATTTATTTGAAGGATCATTGAAAGACAACCTCATTCCTAGTCATTCTTAAGGGTATCACCTAATTTTCATAAGTAATTTGCCTAGAATTCAAAATTAATCCTATGTGACTTCAGTAGTCAAGTTATGGGGGGAAAAAAAGGGTTAAATTAATTCTGCAACTTGTTAATGAAACTGCTAAAATTACATATAATCTTAGGGGTGCTTCAACCTCATTTCCAAGCAAGTGATTTGGTTTTCACAAATAATTTTACGGTCAATTTTATGTGATTTCGGTAATTTAGTTTGAAGAAAATAAAGTTGGATAATGTTTAAATCTGACCCACTCAAATAATCATATAAAAGAGAGAAAAGTTATAATAATAACCTTATACTTTAATGATATGAAAACTTTCCACTAAGTGAGAGGCGGGAAATTCAGGGTCCGTTTGGAATAGCGATTGGAAAAGCAGCTTATAGAAAAAGTAGCTTATGGAAAAGTGAAGTTGGTAAAAGTTAAATTGGATAAGCTGAATTGTGTTTGGATTGGAGTTCAGATAAGCTAGTTTACAAAATGAGATTGGAAAAAGCTTGTTTGGATTATAGTTGAGTAAAAGTAATTTTGGCTGAAAAATTACCAAAATGGGCATGAGTTTTAATAAATAATGAAACATGATGAAAAATTGATTTAAGACAATACAATAAAATTAAATAAAATAATATGAAGAAATAAAATTTAATGAGTGGATTAAATTATAAAATATTTAAA